GTGGTACTGGCTGCTACTATTTGTAACGATGTTTTCCCCGGAGTGTTCCGTAAGTCCGGGGAATTGGTTACCTTCGCCGGTTCCGTAGCATCCGCGCTATTACTGGGAGGGCGCCAGCTATTTTAAGTGGGTAAAACAACAAACCCGGATTCCGTCTAGTTGTTAAGGAGACAACTAGGAAATATCATTTAAGCCGCCTAGTTGTTGAGGACACAATTAGGAAAGACCGAATTTACCGGTGGAGGTGGGGATTAGCACCTCCCCAGAGATAACCGATAACAGATACGGACGAGAGCACAGAACGGTGGGGTTTGCCCGTTCTCGCGACAGGACAGACAAGAAGTTCCGCCTAGTTGTTAAGGACACAATTAGGGAATACCGAGAAGTTCCGCCTAGTTGCTAAGGATACAACTAGGAAATACCGAGATTGCCAATAAGTTAAAACTAAGTGCGTAACCAGAGGTCGTCGGTGTCCCCTCCCCGGGGCGCGGCGAGGACATCTGGAGACGTCCCGCGAACTGCCGAAGTGGCGGATATAGAAATGGAACGCGTGCGGGAGCACTGGGTCGCTCAGTATGCTAGGTTGTGGAGAGAGGGTTGGGCTTCTTTAGTGTGGTCGGTCCCCGTTGGCGTAGGAAGGTTGGTAAAGTAGGGGATCGATAGCAGATCGGGTCGATAGGATCGAGAGCGGTCGGTAAATAGATAGCGATGAAAAGCCGATAGCGGTCCATAGGCGCTAACATGCCGAGAGCTAGAGGTATCGGCATACCTTCTACTAAATTCGATAGCGCAGCCCTACGGCTGAAAGAGAGAGAGAGCTTTGCATAATGTGATCAGGCGGGCTATGTAGCCACGCTAATCATCGGTAGCTACGGGCTGGTTGGAGCCCGAGGCCGACTGGCCCGTAAGAGTTCCGGAGCAGCTCTGACGTGTGGAGTGGAGAGTACTCCCTAGTAGCTCTGCTCCCCACTCCCGACTCACGCGGTTGGAGTGCGTGGGGGATCACCCGTGGTACTTATCACCACCGCGAGGATATCCCTGCCGGTAACGTTTCCTGGAGCGCGCCGAATTCAAATGTCCCCAACCAGGCCGTCCAGTTAACCCCTTATCTGGACCCCTGGCCATTTGAATGCCCGCCCCGTCTAACATGGAACAGTTCTCTGGAGTGGAGAACCCAGTGTTCCGACAGAGGAGTCTCATTGGAAGCTGAGGTTCAGTACTATAACCTCAACTTCCCACGCGTGGGGATTTGGCGGACCCAATCGGTACATCAGAGAGCGTAATTTATTCCAATAAACATTTTAAATGTTTATTAACGCGAAAAATCGCGTTACAGGTGGGACGCATCTTCATATGTTTAAGAATGTATTCAAAAGGAATGTTTCTGGGCAATGTACTCTCACCCTGATATTACCCCCCATTTCTCCAGGTGTTGGAGAAGTTTTTGAAAAAAAGACGGGACGAGCGCGCATTGGCCTCTCTGTAATTAATGTTCGTCTAAAGTCAAAAGTGGCATGTTTATGCATTTTTCTGACGTTCATGGCCCATAAACTTGACACCTTTTTTGAGAATGGACAACTATTGTTCATTAGAAGGCTCGCGTGTCAAATGAAGTGGACCCTTTGAGGCTGGAGAGGTCCCCTAGTTTGGACAACGAGAAATCATCCGGTGAATTGTGCAATTTTCTGGAAGCCATCTCATAACTTTCGTTGGATATGGGGGGCAGGTGCCGTCAAGTTCCCGGCCAACCTTCTGTAACCAATCGGGGGAGGCACTCGGAGCAGATGTACCCCCTATTAGCCTGCCTTTTCTTTTCTCGATATCGGCAAACCCGTGGTTGAGGTGGTCCATCTCTAAATTGCCGACATTTTTAATTATTTGGGGTAGCTCCCATCTGCGGTTATCATTGGAGGGTTGTTTAAATTATTGACCCCCAGATTCAATAGAGGGAAGAAAAGAAATGAAAAGGATGTTTTTAGTTGGGCCTTTGAGTAATTATGCGGCTTGTTTTTAGATAATTCGTGGTTTCCAGGTGTTATCACCGTGATGGTCACTCCTTAACGCCTCTCAGGCCATAATGACGGCCACTTGAATAACTGCTAGGTGGTCTCTTTTATTGTGGTTACCCTGCATAATCGGTATTTAGGTGGAACATCCCGATATTCCTTGCCATTGTGTGGGGTTTTTTCAAGCACCTTTTTTTGTTGTTACACCAAGTTTTCCAGATATACAAAAATTATAAACGTAGTAACTACGGCGTCCGCAACACCAAGATCGTATTGAACTTTGGAGAGTAATCGTTCTTGCCCATGGCCATCGTGCCATAGCTTTCGTCCATTGGAAGAATAATGATATCATTTTTCTCTTCAAGGTTTCGCAGTGCCAGGTGATCATCCCTAGCGATATTGTCGCTAGGGGAGACCGCCTTATGGAAGATGTTCGATAATTGTCTGCGGATATTATCGCTAGTTTCTTGAGGAAGAGAAGAGAATAGATAAAGGGCGGGAGGGTTTGTACTTATTTGCAGTCGCATTCCTGGTTAAGCGTCCTCCCAACTACCTGAAAGTTACCGAATCCTAATTTGGGTTGTAACGATTGGCCAGGTAGATATTAAAAAGGGTTGAGCTAAGGACCAGCCCTTGGCCGGCACCTATGTTCATAAGGAAGGTACCTGCTAGGTTTCCTTGAATGACGAAATATAATTGTCTGCATGCAAGTATAAAGTAAATCAAGTTGGCTTTTCTTGGAAGAATGTCGTTCTGAGCCAGCTCTTTGTAGAGGATGTCAGAATAAACATTATCAAAAGCTCACTTGATCAAAAGCTCCCTTATATACCACGGCTATCAGCACAGTCAGGGTTTTCGCAAAATTTTAGAAAGTAGGAGGTAATGGGTATGAATTTGTTAGGAGAGTTTTTTCACCAAAAATTGCTGCCATTGGTCGGGGCATTTGTTTTTGGAAAGTAGTTCATTGGAAATTTCGAGGATTGTTATCTTATTCAATTGGGAGAATTCCGAAATTTTAGTTCGAAAAACCAATTCTCGTGGCTGGCTCAGTATGCAGGGGGGGGGGGCTGAATTGATATTATAGAAGTTTTTATTGTTGAAGTCTTGCCAGACCCTACCTATGGGAGTAGATCGATGAAGGGGAGGAAGAAAAGTTGGTAAATGTCTAGAACAGCCTCCTCAAACCAAACCAAATCATACTCAGGAACGGTCCATCTATCGAGAAAGGCATAAGATCACTACGTGGGTACTCGATATGGGTATCAACTGTTTTAAGTAATTCATAATTATAAATTTAATTATAGAATTTTCTGTATGGAGGGCAGCGGAGTGTTTATACTGGTATCGAGTATCTACGTAGAAATTAAAAAGAGATTGATTTCCCCCAACGGTGAATGGTGTTGCTGTTGAGGCAGTAAACAATAATAGACCACTTTGTGTTGTCCTGGTCTTTGAATGTACCAACATGTGCTGTCAAGGGGCCGATAACCGCTACGTCCTCGCCGTGATCCTGGGTAATACAAAGAGCAGTATACAAACTATTTGTCTCCCCAACATACTGGTGTCAGATTCGTGGTCAAGAGGTTAAACGCTATCGGATAGGATGTAATTCAATATAAAGTTCTAATACAAAGGTCAATATAAAGTTCAATGTAAAGTAATAGATATTTATCCTAAAAGGACAAGGCCTGAACTTAATTTCAAAAGTTTTTCTACCGACTAAGAGCAATGGCAACTTTTGTCCCATCCCGTACTTAAAGTTGTTAAACACACGCGTATAGCACAAGAAGTTTCGTTTAAGCGCTAATTATCGCATTGCAGAGTTTGTTCAAGATAATGACGTCATGACAAGAATCGACATCTACGGCAGCAGCGCATGTATGTTTTCAGGTCTGAATCATCCACTGACATAGACATGTCCATCGCTTGGTCTAGAATGGGGAGCTGTTTCAGAAGCTGAGTTTACTCTTTGTCCTCTCAAGGGCCTCACGACCTTCACGACGATTTCGAAACATCCTGGATTGCAGAGATCCCTCGATTGCATGGTGGGGATCAATAGTTTATTTGAATTACTTTTTCTTGGTTTGTCAGAGTTATCCGGGCTCTCGTTACGCACATCCACAAAGAAAGCTGGACGATATCTCTGGATATCCTCTACCGCGCCTACCAACTGTTGGAACTAGTCGGCGATCTCGGGCTCGAAATATCAGATGCACATCCCTCGCTAGATGCAATGGCGTAGCAGATCATTAATAATAGAAGAGGTCCCCGGGAGCGTGGCATTTGCTGCCATCAGCAACGATAAAAATTTACGAAAAGTGGGCTCTTTCAAATACAGAATCTTTCGCTTAAAAAAGAATCCGCTATTGCACATCCGCACGTGTCCTTGAACCCCAAAGATTCCTGTGCCTGATATACAACCACCTGAAGACATCGCCCATGGCATTTTAATTGAGCATGGTGCTTTCCTCTGTTTGTTGGGTTCCTCGAATTCTGGATTACTTAAATGGTTGCACAGGAATGGTTCCATTAATAACTTCAAAATGCAATCAGACCGATTGGATACCCGGATTAACGGAAATTTTTGTGGATCAAAGTTAGTCCAGGCATGGATACCTGAAGAGAAGAATCTGGTCATTGACAGGTAGCGCTCTTCTACGTTAAAGACTACTAAAGTCCCAGTTCGCCACTTTTTAAACTAGTGGCGCTGTAATAGCATCGATTCATGTCACCGCCTGATTCGAGTATTTTTTGTTCCGTGTTTAATTTGTATAGCGTATTCGCGAAGCAATACATTATATCAGGAGGATTGTAATCAGATTCGGAAGATAATACTTTTATCGTCGTGTGACCTACAAAATGTTTCGTTTACAATCCCAGTTGTCGGGCCCAGCGACGAAATAAATAATCAATATATATCCGCGAGATTCTTATTGTATACAATTATAAACTTAGTATTGCACAATGAAATAGCATGGACCGAACAATACATACCCAACTAATACGACCCCGTGAGCAACATAATTCACAGCATGTCCAAACCCAAGAGGGAAAGCAGCCCGTGAGTTGTCTATTACACCAGCAATAGAGGGTTGCAGCTCACAAGAAAATCCACTGTTTAAAGACAGTCCTGTTAACAGCTGCTGAAGCGAGTTCATTCCACCCTCCACAACACTATTCTTTGGATAAATCTTCCATAAAGCATCGTTCACAGCATCGACGAAATCTTCCGGAGTAGCTTTTAAGTAATTTTTGGCTTGATCGGTGGGAAGAGACCATACGAGAGAACTGTGAGCGCCTGAGAGCTAACAAAAAGCTCAACAAGTTATTATTTCCACCATTTGTAGTGTCCATCTAGTTAAAAAATAGGGTACCATAACGTGCCAATTATTACTTACGGGAAGCAACGCTATGGGACCAGTGGGAAGGAACCTTTGCCATGCTGTGATATTTTCTGTTGGCTGAAACAGTAAAGAAAATTTTTTTTCCTTAATCCCTTTTAAAATCTTACGCTCATACATCGTCTATATATATACATTATATATTTTGATTCGCATTAGACAATATTTGATTTATCGTTGTGCGTAAGCTATCCTGAAATGTTACATTCGGTGAAAAATCTATCAATTATAATTGATATCACTAGATCAATACTTTCCTTTTTTCAAATTTCATAAAGAAAAATCGTGTCTACTATAGTCGATGGAACGTTGAAGCTTGAAAACCGGGAGTCATGCTTTCTCTACATAAGACATTTCGTAGCAGCTGTGAACCACAGATCATCACCTTCAAACTGGTGCGTGCATTGTATGCAAAGAAATTAAAGTGATCGAAATCCGTACCAACATCCATTTTTCACGTAATTGTACGTGAATAATGATGACAAAATTCTGGAATTTTTAGAATTTTTTAACTCATCCTATGAGCTCTATTCTTTTTAAGTTTCATCTTCAAATACCTGTAACTTATATAATCATGTCACGGCGAAATAGATCGGTAACAGTCTTCGCTTCATGACTTTTTTATTAAAGGTATTAGCACGATGCTTTCGAATAATCATTTCGCGTCCCAGCTTTACATTAATGAAATTTCGATGGCTAAGATTCATCAGCTTGAAACAACACGGTTTGGAAACAACATATCTGAAGAAATCACCAAGAAGATCCGTTTCAGCGAATTACATTCCATTCTATAAAGATTCGTGAGGTCGGCAGGGTTTTGTTCTCTGGTTTCTATGCTCAAAGCCTTCTTTCTATGCTGAGAAGCATGCATGATCCATAATCATTGGGAAGCTTAATAAAGAAGCTTAAAAATTACATCTGACTTGTCGATTTCTCACTATTTTTGATTAGCTCATGATAGTTTTATACGACAATTCAATTACCATGTGTTTCGTATCCAACAAATTTATTTGCATTAATGGTCTAATTATTTATTTATAATTTCTTAGTACAAGAGAAAAGAAAATTTCAAAACCTAACAGCGATTTTCGAATCCGAAAGAAGCGAGTGGACTTAAATAAGGAGCAAATGAAAAGCCTTTCAACGCTTTTGCCATCCTAATCTAGAAATTCCAGAGAAAATCACGACCAAGCAGTTTGCATGAAGCTGCTAGTCATCTAATCATTTCGGGAAAATTTTGTTAAAAACGCAGGCGAGGACAAGAAACAGTTGAACCCGCCATTTATAGTGGGCGACCCACCAAATCTACCAGTACCAATGGGCAAAACACATTTTGAAAAGGGTCCGGATGGGAAAATAGGTCCGCTGAAATTTATATTACCCGAGAGAACCTTGTTTACAATCTGATCCATTACAAATCGTTATAGCAAAAAAAAGGGTTTCAACTTCACGTAGCTAGGATTTGTGACCCCAGAGCTGTTAAACATTGCCTCTTTAGAGTCATACTCTCTTTTCAGTCTCTGTCGATAGCTCGTACCAATGAGTTCGGAAATTCTTGGTCCACCAATGAGAGAAATGACAAATAATTGTTGTTGGAATAATCTCTGGAATAATTGTTGGGTAACAAACTCTCCTCCATTTTCCAACTCTCTCCAGAAATGCAAAAAAAAAAAAGTTCAGTTCGTTTTGAGAAGTGAAGAAAAGTGGCCATAGTATGTAAGGAATTCTACAGGAATCTCTTAGGAATACGTGATTGTATAGAACACGCGAGAGAGACATTGCGTAAATTACATTTTCCTTTTGTCGGACTATTGAGTCCCAAAAACAATTTGGATTAAGAAGGCTTCGTTTTGGGTGTTGGGTGGAAGACCCTGCGAGGATGGCTAAGGGCGCGAGGAGGAAAAATTAAAATAGGTTTACGGTTAGGTTTTCGGAGAACTTAGGGTTCGTTCAACTCGATCTCGCGTATGAAGAAAATCAAAGAATGTCATGATTAATTTTTGAATTCACATGTTTTACCGCGCCAGAAAATTCTAATTATTGTACACCCGCGGCGCACCCGTACACCCGTCGCGCTACGTTCACGACAGGGTACGGGGGACGACCACCTGTGGCGTCCACTCGAGTTTTTGGACCGGCAATTAACCCCCGTGTACTTAGCCGAAAGGATGCGATTATTAGGGAAACTATCTTACGTATTCGATTATACATTGATAGTACATGATTGTACTAAATTTTTTTTGTTTCTTCATTCACTTATTGATTATAAATAATTATTTCATTTTTATCGTGATGCTGGCTGGAATAAAATGAAAAATTTCTCAATGGATTAAATAAATAGGCAATTCGATAGGCAATTGTTTGTACATCATGAATTACATATTGCTGATTAATTGATTAAGTAACAAATTAATAATTCTCATTCGCCCTCCACCCCGCGCGAACCTGCTATGGTTCCTGCGTTGTTTGCGATATATATTATATATACTAAAAAACATAAAGTTGAACAACACGAAATCTGGCAAACCATCAATTGAGTCAATTAAACACGTTTCAAACATGATAATAAATATCATCATATTGAGCACATTGGAAATTTGAACCGAGATTTTTCACAGCTTTAAGAAGGTTATGATGAGGAATAGTCAATAACATTATATAGTTTTTAATTCAATTTTATTTATAACATTGCAATGTTACTGACTATTGACTATTATGACCTCATCATTTGCAATGTCCTCAATATGAAGATATTCATTATCATGTTTGAAACATATTTAATTGAAACAATTGATGGTTGATCAGATGTCTTGGTGTTCAATTTTGTTTGTTATTGAGGTAGAAAATAACAAAATGAAGTATATATATAACCACACACAAAACAGGAACTGTCCTGTGGGGTGGTGGGCGAATGGGGATTATTAATTTGTGATTTAATCAATTAACGAGGAATGTACAAATAAAGAAAATATGTAATTCATGATGAACAAATTATTTTCGACCGAATTGACTATTTATTTAACCCATTGAGCAATTTTTCATTTTATTCCGGCCAGCATCATGGCAAATATGGAATAATTATTTATAATTAATGAGTGAATGTACAAACAAAACTAGTAGTCGCGTTGTTGGTCGCTCGCTTCGCTCGCTCCCGAAGTGGGGTGCGTAGTTGTGGGTGGCTTGCTGGCGAATGCATTCATGCGGGTGTGACCCGTTCAACGGGTCGAACCAATAACTTCCTGTTCTATAATGATTCTCCTGTCTTATAATAATTTTTATACTCCCCAAAATCCATAACGCTTTTTTGGAGAATGAATGGAGCTATTTCGTGTACAACAGAATCAGCACCGAAACACACGACGCTTCAATTGTCTTTTGTTCCACCTCGATTGCATCATCCGTTCACAAAAAAATGTTTGCGAAATTTTGTTTCCCATTTTGTTTTTGGAAAACCTGGAGAACGACTGGAGCGATTCAATCTATGATTCAATCAGTGCTGAAGAATGTGAAGACGCTTCGATTGTATCATATTAGACCTCGATCGCATAAGTCGTTCACGAGAAATCGCTGATTAATTTTTTGCTACAATATTTCTCGACAAACT